CAAACAACAGCTGCGATTGTCTGTTCAGAAACGGTCCAACTATACCGTCTTCTCAAAAACCTTAAGGCAATAACACACGCTAATGGAAGGACTCGATCAGCAAAATTCACTTGAAGAAATATCAATTCTATTTAGAAACTCTGAAACAGTGGGTATTATAGCCATAAAAAAACGCGTGACGCGACCTAACTTGAACGCTTCAGGCAGTTTTCGTTGCGTTCAATCCAAAGACAGTAAAACAATGTGAGATTAACGCTCAATGACGATGGCTGCTCCCGTGAGGGAGACTGCCTGCGCTATTTAGGTCATGGACTTAACGAATCCTTAAAAACTCGTTCCAACGTATTCAAGTTAAGCATGAGGCTACTGGCGGTTGCTTACTTCGTCACACGTTATAGATCCACTACAGCTTTTCACAGCTACACATATTAGGCCAACGCGTCTTCGTAACAAAATAACGATTAATACCTTCATACGGTTTCTGATGGTAACCTAACTTGAAGCTAGAATAATCGTTCCCTGTCGTCTATATGATCGTATCATATGGGCAGTAGGGAAAAGAGTCGTAAAGTTCGACAATTTATGTGATGCAGCTTCCATCTAAATGTCGTAATTGAATGAAAAGGCCACTCATTTTGAGCATCTTGCCTCTGTTGCGGGTCCCCTCTATCTAGCTAGCGATAGCTGCTGCCACTGACTGGCGTAAGCTATGGTTACGGAAGAAGTTACCATCTTCTTCGGTGGCCAGCAAGTTTAGCTATAGCTTAATCAGTCCGATATCATTTCTAGCGCCACCATAGCGCCCGTCAACAGAATTGTTCCATTATAGCCAGCTAACTTGATAATCTGTTCGATAATAGATTTAGAACGCGTAATCGTTTAACAACAGCTTACAACGGACTTGACGGATCAAACTAAATTTAACGGTTTTACATTTGTACGTGAAAAAGAGTTTGGCGTGGCATAACGTCCACTTACTATCGAATACCAGTTGACGAATTTTATTTTGTGTGAATATTAAAGAGTTTACAAGAATTCATGCAACATGTTGAAACTGTTTTATTCACTGCAGGGTACCTAACTAATCGACAAATTAGAAGCATGATGAAACGATTTAACCCTGTTAACAGCGCTGGATCAGCACATGTAGTTTCGGTACACAGCTCACAGAAAATGTTTAATCGAAGCGATCGAAAACGGCGATAAATACAGACTCACTATAATATACAGTGAACTTCAAAGGAGTATGATTTTTTTCATAGTATAACTTCACTGCACCTCTAGTCCGAGATGAACGTACACATACATTACATGTATACGTGTAGCTTCAGCAGCGTGCCTACTTAAGTGACGAAAAATAAGATAGATTAAAACCGTAAGCATTGGCTCGCCTACAAGCGCCTTCACGAAGCCTAGCCCGCTACTTTGTTGGTTACGAGGCGTCGGCATTTTAAAATGAAATGCAGGCGCTTCGTTACGTCGCGATGGCAGTATGATGCGTTTTTTCTGTTCTATATGTAGGAATAGTAGTACTTCGGAAATACTATATATATCATTGGAATACTAGTAATTGTCTCACTGTCTTGATGTTTGACAAATGGTTATTACGGAGAGCACTTAATTGTGCGGCGGTGGGCAAGCAAGGTGACTCGAAACAAATGTCTAATACATCTTGCCTATTGTATGGTGTCTCGGACTAAGAAAAATAATGATTTAAATAGTTGTTGTGCTGATTTCAAAGGCTACATTAGCTGTACTGTAATAGCACCCGATATAAAGCACTCATTTTTATGACGCCTTGTTTCCATTCCTTCTGAATCTATTACAGCCCCAATAGATTTAAGCTGACACTTGTTCGCCCGCTATCAAGCGATATCGCCAGCAGTAAAGAATAAACACATCCATGTCACTACCTTCTACTAAGTTCATACTCTATCTCGTTCGCGTTACCTCTGAGAGACGGATATGCCATAAGCTAGCACATACAATAGGCTGCTAATAGAAAACGACTGGTGGTGTTCGTAATCCTTTCTCTTTCCGTCCGTACGGCGCGGGGTGAGGTCATGAATAAGGGCACATCTAGCTTCTGAGTTTTACGATTCGCTGCCACTAACTGACCTCACTGGTCCGACTTGAAGCGTACTGAGTCATCATCAGTTGGCGAGAGAACGTCACGAGAGTACGAAACAGGAAAATTAAACAACGACGAAGTTGTACAAAAAGCAAGAGACTCCCGGTTCCTGTTCCGATGTTGCTAACCGCTCTCTTGTTGGCCGCATTGTTTCAATGTAGAAGAAACATTCCACAACGATGCCGGGCTAAGCAACCGTCGGTTCCTTCATGCACTATTTGACGGTTCGACGAGCGGCTTCACGAGTGGCTCCGTGCCGCCACTGACGCGGCGACGCGATGACGTAAGAATCATGGCGCCCGTGTGGCCGGGCCGGGCCATGATAGGATTGTGCCTGCTTTGTCAGCGGCCCCTCATTGCAGCAAGCTGTTCGCGCGCGTGCTTGGCGAAGTTGAATAGCAACAGCGGCAGCGACGTCGTGCAAGAACGAAATCATTGTACCCATCAAAATAGCAAACGGCAAACAGAGTTGAGTAGCATCGAAAAGAAGCCGATTCTCATTGGCTGGTCGAAAGCGCACAAAAGGATCCATCGACATTTTAGTGCGTTTAGCGATGCTAGACATATAATTGAATCGTTTCGATCTCATCATAAACGTAATAGTAACGGTAGAAATCAGCGTATTTATTACGGCTAGGTGTCACATTTACTCAATGTTACGTGCGAAGGATGACATGGTAAAAGGAGAATGGGAAAAGGCTATGCTGTGTCAAACAAAAAAAAAAACAAATTTCATCCAATATGGCTGTAATAGTAACTGTGCTGACGCACAATCATTTATATAATGGCGTAAAATACGTACTATGACGTATGCGGCACAAGTCCAAGGAAATGAGTATTGGTAATCTTTTATGATTGCAAGGTTGATTCAAGTATGGACATGAGCACAGTTCCTTTAAAACAAACAAGAAACAGAGTTATCCATAGAAATAAATATGTGCCAGCTTCTCATCAAGACTGCTAACAATTACCAGATCATTATCAATACCCTTTTCCGTTTTAGTATAATTTCCTTGTTTATGTTGAATTTTTCCCACTTCTAACTTGATGGACTTACACGAAAATTGCCCTAATTTATAATGTATATATATATATATATGGGAAAGCGTGGGTACAAATATATCGCTCTCCGAAACTGGTCGCCCCACTGGACAGCCACAAAACCCCATTAACTAGATGCGTCATCATTCAGTGACAAAGATACTACATAATTATAGCAGTCAATCGGATTGTGGCAGCATCACGTTACATTCGTCTACCGACCCGAGAGTGCCTCCGATATTAAAAGATCTTGATTTGAATCATTAATGGTAACGAAAATCCTCGGCTGCAGCAGTAGGTCGCCACAATACCAACTGTATTCTGGTAACTTACGACGCCTGCAACTAATTAAACAGGATAGGTACAGTTGTGTCTGTTCGTGCTAATATACAAAACAATATAAAGTGTGGAAACGATCCTGTATATTGCACATCGTAAACGTACTGACGAATGACAATTGCGAAAAGCTTGCATTTCTGATTTAAATTTCTGGCCCGTTTTTCAAAGGTGGTGATGCCCATCAGCACTAAACATTTGTTTATGTTATAGTTGTAGTAGACGAAAATGTCGCTTTTTGTCTTAGTTAAGTTCTTGCTGAGAATTAATATTCTACCAATGATAGACGATTAGCCGTAGACTCGAAAATCCTCCACTCGTGCATTGATATAAAATGAATTCGTCTTTCTACCAAATGATTTCAAGTTTATGGTCAAAGCGTAGCTATTTTCCGACCTTTAGCTACTGCTTATACTAAGATGAATGTCAACTTGCTTTAAACTTAATTCTCGATCTCAAATCAACAGATAAAAATTCTGCTAGGTAAATTTCAACCTAGAGTACCCCCTGGTCGTTGTAGCTGACTTGATTATGTTTTATTTACAAGACACATTGCCAGAGACTTATCTTTCGGTTATTCCCATTGATGGCAATCATACAAGTTTCGAATGCTTTGCAAATATCTAATATTTGGTCTCTTTCTTTTTATTTCAGCAATTTTTAATGCTCGTGTCTCTGTCGCCTTGTTGTGACAGCCGTAAGCCAAAATCGCGTCGACGGCCTTCTTCGTGAACGCAGTGCTCGTGAGACTTTCAACAGGTTGTCTCCTGCGAGAGACAAGCGGTCGATTTGCCGGCCGCTACAACAGCCGTTAATACCCTCCGAGAACAGCCATCATCACTAAGGCAACAGTGATTTTGAGTGCTCTTGTTACTTGCTGGGTATACGAGGAGTTATCGTTTCGGCTATGACAAAAATATCGGCCGATCCATTCACCATCGTCATGCGACAAGCCGTGGCCACTGATTTTCGTCAGGATCATTTATTATACTAGTGTTATAAAGCTCGAAACGCGTTATGCTGGACAGGCTGTTATAGTCAAAATTCGAACACTACTCTTAACTATTTCCAAGCCCCAAAACATAACCTGATTTAGCAATGACATACCGAGTTCGTGCAATAACGGGGTCATACGGGTCATACATATATATATATGTCAACGCGAGTTGAAAATGATACCACCTCCCTGCACCATCGTGGAACTCAGCATATTAGTAGGCCTCAATTATATATCGCATTGTCCCTTTGTTCTGGCGAACAGGGCTGTTGGAATCGTCACACGATGTCTTAGCTGAATGGCTGAAACCCAACCGAATCAGAGTGACTGGTTCCGATCAGAAGCCCTGTACGCAACAACCACCTTGAGCGGCAGTATTGTCATTCCGACATTTAAACAAATGGCCGTCCCTGCTAGCTAACCAGGGCACCCTTCAGATATCAGCGAACTTCGACACTATACAACCATGCACCTATAGCTGGAACTTCAACTTACCTCAAGAATAACGTAGTCAAAAAGTTAGACTTTTCTCCTCTTCAGTTGACGACAACGACCGACAGCAGTGGAAAGTTTTGATCAACTCGTCCGTGTTTTCTCGCACCTGTTTGATCGAATTTCGAAAAACTGCCAAACTTTTTCTACCTTCCTTTATAGCGTCGTTGTCGCCAGTCTATTTATCAGCGTTTAGTAAACTGATGTACTAATGCACCAAGATCCTCTGAAAACAAGAATTGTATTCGTAACTAGCTATTAACAGACACACGGCGAGCAGGAGAAAAACACGAAGTCCACCTCTCTCACACAGCGTTCAACTGCACTCTCACCATAACTTAATAAAACAACAAACCTTGCGGTCGCATACAGCGACAGCAGCAACAACAACGATAGCGTCGGACGAACAAATTGACGGATCGAGCAATTGGATCAACATGGACAAACAAACGGCAAATACGAATGCCACCGTTGCCCCGGTACGCACTAGCACCGCCTAACCACGACACGCGTTGACTTCTTCATCCAATCGGCCAACAAACACTTCGCCTACGGAACAGTAGCGAGTACTGCCGCGACACACAGCAATTTCACTCCACCACTATCAAAGGTGGCTCCATCAGCGGCACCACGGCGAACTGGCGTTGGGACTGGTTTCCGCTGCTACGACTACTGCTGCTCTTGTTGCTGTCGATGTGCTGTCTGTTGTTACGCTTGCCCCAGCGGAAGCGAGGGCGCGGGCGGCGGCGGGGGGAGACGAAGACTGGCGGCAGCAGCCACGATACGCTGCACAACCATACATTACTTCCAGTTGTGCTGTGGTGAGTGGCGGCATCAAAGCTGAGAAAAGCGACTTGAGTCCACGGCAGCGGCAGTGAACGATGATGAGCTGAAGCAGCGACAGCAACGAATGACGCTAGCGTGCTGAGGCTGACGGCAATCAAAAAAAGACAGCATTCGGCCCATAAAACAACAGCGTATAGAAGTGAGTGGCCGCTGCTTCGTCTAGCCGACCACCGCTACACTGGGGGACGTCCCGCCGATTCTCGTATGATCGCTGGCCATGGCAAATACGGTGCTCTGATAGACGAAGCCTTGCCTTTCGATTGTGAGCATCAATATAAATTTCTGAGTGATTACATATTTACTAACGAAACGAAATAATGCGATAAATATAATTACTTGTTTGTCACCATTTTAGATTTTGTCATAAGAGAGATTTATTATGATGGCTAGGATTCCATGCAGTTAAGTGACGTTTGAGAGGGAATTAAAAAAAAAAGTAAAAGGACACGCAATGTTTTATTGCACCTTCACTAACTATATTTATATACATGCTTACTTAGCATTTGTCTGATGTAATTGAAAAACGCTGCGGGAAGTAGGACGATGCTTTTGGACGAACAGTTGGAGATTAGTATGCGATTACTTAAAGAAAAATGCTCCACACAAAAGAAGTAAAAGCAAGCCTTTTCGCTTAAAGCATATTTGCTATTTGGACAAATGAAATATATCTGTTTGAAAACTGAAGTATCATTGCGTTGTAGGATATTAAATATGTTCAAAATACATTATATCCATTTTGAAGCAGCGTTTAAATATTCCCACAGGACGTTTTCTGAGAAATTTAAAACAAATCCGAGCTTTTCATTCTACGCCCGATTCTAATCATGACCGTTTCTAGACAATCTGTTGTAGGAAGATTACGAGAATATGCTATTGCGGCAGAATTTAAAGTAAATATTTCAAGAGAGTCGAAATGTTCTAAACAGTATTTTGTTCTCAATGATTTTAAAACTACTAAACTATCAACAATGAACGTTTTGTCAGTTCTTGAAAATTCTAAAAAAAAAAAGCACAAAAGTATCACTTGTGAAGCAATACTGAGTGGCAATACGACAAAGAATTGCAACTTCATATGATAGAACAAAATTAATCAGTCGCTCAAAGAAATGGTCGGGAATAAATGCGATACGCAGATCTCTATTCTGCAAAGAATTAGCTCGAAATTCTGTTAGAATAGTATTTTATTAAACCGACCTATACGAGAAACACGACGATCACAAAATAACCTACAAGCGCGACCCAAAGCCAATTTCACTTCTGCGTCATTTACAAATCATAGAATTATAATTTATTTTATTTATTGAACATGATATACCGTATAATCGGCATATTTAAATAGGAATGAATAAAATAGAACCGCAAAATAGATTTGTGGTGCGAGTTCTTTGAACTCGTTCGTGGCTACAAGAGCTTTATTACACAATGTACTATTATTTATCGTAAATACTTATTTTATCGTATACACTTATTTTAATATCGTCAAATATAATAACTATGCATCATGCTGATGAAACGTGTCAAGGGAGTGTATTGTCACTTGTTGACCACAATCACGTGCAGACGATCCTTGGCTAGTACAAAAAGGGCTTCTCTTCCAGCCGCAGCTCCTAGTATAGCTTCGGTACCATTCAGGCGAAAAGCGTATTGTTTTGCTACACGTTCTACCTGAATTGTCAAAAGGCGAAGTCACATTTGATTTGAATAGAGCAAATTATTATTGTTATTATCATTACTATCTTCGGTTCGTAGGACACCATACGTACTTCTAACAAAATCATCTAATTCAGCCTCAATGTTCGTTTTGAGGTCGAAGCTGGAAGCTGCTAGTTGTGTCTATATTTGCCAGTTTTTTTTTTTTTTTGTTATGGCATCATCAGCGTTCAAGGTGTAGGTTTGCAAAGAACTTTTCTTTTTCTCTTTAAATCATTTTTAATTCTGTTGTACCTGTCCGGTTTTCCGGTTCTTCAGTTCGAATTCTGCTGTAGGTTCGGGGCTTTTGTATATATACACTTGACCATTCGTGGCTACGATTGCCGCGTATTCGCCTCCAACTTCGTCGGCTGTTTCCCGATCTCCGCTAGATTCTGGCCTATTGTTAATAGTCGGAATGTGGCTAATCACAAATTGTTTGTCCTGCTTTGATGCACTGACGTACCCGAACGCATGCAACGTAGACACATGCCGAGGAATAATGCGGTTCTATAATGGTATACGTCCACGCAAATGCGTTATTCAGAGTTTCCGTAACAATTGTGCGGCCTTTTAGGGAGAATGTAATAACGGAAATCAATGCGAACACTAATAGATAAATGATAGAAAAAATCTTTATTAAGAAGAGTACGCATCATCGCAGCTTTCAGCCAAGCAGGCTGTGTTATTCCGTATTAATTTCTTCTTATACCCATCAATTTAGTTAAATTGAAAATAATGGCACACCCGATAATGTAACGTACCTGCTTTTGATTCTCAAAATCGAACTTCCAAACTAGCCCGTCAACGTGGTGTCTCAATACGATGAGGGGTCCCTTCTTTGAAGCTATTTCCATGATAAATTGGTGACCCGACAAATCCAAGAAACAGTCTCTGTTCCGGCAAAAAACGTAGTGTTTAGAAATGCAGACAATCTCTTTCTTTCTTATATTTTACGAACCCAAAGTTCCAATACCATCTCTTCGTACCTGTTATGAGTTTCGCCGTTGAAAATAACTAGACTGAATTCCTCTGCAGTTTCATCACATTCCTCTAGATTATCTCCAAGTCCGGCGCTCGTTTCCTGAGTTGGTCTACCTGATTTTGCCTTTTCCAGGTCATCATCAGTGGCAGTAAGGTGGCGGAGGCGTTCGTGCATCTTTTGCGAATTGCCAATTAAAAAATAGTTAGAACAAGAAATATTTTTCGAAAGAATCTACCAACTTATTTGCTTCACTTATTATTTTTCATATTATTTTAGTTCGTTTTCTTATTTGAGATTTTCAGCTATTCTTTTGACGTGAACAAGTCTTCGGAATCAACTTATATGTAGCATCAAAGACACACCGACGCTAGCAGTCTAGTGGAGGCGAGTCTTGCAGAACTTTCCGTTTTCCGACGTTTTTCCGACGGACCTATGAAGCGGCGTGACAATCATACATACAGCTATTGGCTTCACTAATAATTTCTTATTTCCCTTAATCTATACTGCATATAAGGCTGTGCAGGTAATGGAACTGAATGACTATTCTATGCAAGCTCAAATAACGCTGTCGATTCAAAATTGACTCCAAACACTAGCCGGGAGTTGTAAAACGCTTTAACCTGAAAATCGTCCAAAAAGGAATCCTTTGATTTACAGTGAATAAAGCTATGAATCATTTAGTTCTGCTCATAAGGGAGTCCGATAGAACATTATACCGACTTCATCAAGATAAGCTGCATCAAAGACTTCCTCTCCTTTTGTAGTGCCCTTTACCACACGCGGCCAGCGCTGGGCTCGACATTTCACCAAGGTCACCTGCAAAACAAAAACAGGATATACTAAAAATAGCCATCACTGCACATATAAATGTATAATAATAAAACAAGGACGTTCTAAGCAGAAGCATTGTTTTCCAAAAGGGCCTCCCTGTACACAACATGGATGGCTATTTTTCATAGCGTTTTCTTTATGTTACGTTCACACACTAACCTCTAATTTATCGTCTACTATGGACCACGTAGAAGCGCCCGAGTCCACAACTGCCTCCAGCACGCCATCGAGAACTGTTTCTCCGCAAATTTTGATCTATTAAAATATTGAAACGAGAGACTAGCTTTAACTACCATTAATTGTGTGACAAAAGAATATAATGAAAGCCGTTTATCGAAGATTAGGCATAGAATGTATTGTAGCACAAGTATGTTGCTTGATTATGAGTTTATTCAGACGGAAATAATATACCTAGTCACTTCACTTACGGAAAACGTTCATCAAGAACTAAAATCAATTGACTAGTTTTTAGTGTTAAACTATAATCATTTTTTTAATGCGGAATTACATACACTATCACATTCAGGTACTGTTCATCCGTCCGTTGATTGTGTAGTCTTTAAAAATTGTTATCAACGAAGATCCAGTTTTTATAAATCGTTAGGAATAGAGTTACGATTATCCTGTGAAAACAGTGAGGGGTTCGTGTAACTAGCGTTCAATCGTACCTCAATGCTGGATGGTTTGATGTCAACGTTCACATCTCTTTTGGACGTGTCAGGTTGTAAACGGAACATGACTACTACATCCTCGTTGTTTTGCATATAGGTATATACAGGAGAAGTTAGATCCTTTTCCGAAGTATACTGCAGTGCAAAAAAAAAACAATTATCCAAATAATAGCCACAGCCGACAACAACTTCAATCGGAATTGAAAATCAAGTAGAAATTTAGCAGCAAAGCGTATAATAGGTTGATTGAAGTTTCCGAGCTTTTTTTTACTCAAACAGGGTCTGAAAAATATGACGAGTGCAACAAAACTTCCCACTAAAAACCCAGATAGATAGCTTGCTTGCCTTGTGCGGTTACGCGTTGCCATGGCGCAGGATTACCTGATCTCGTTTGTTGACTTTTTCTTCTGAATAGATTGGTTGATACGACGCAATCGAACCATCTAAACATGTAAATCAACTATATAGTTCGTACGAAGCAACTGACAGTGAATCAGGCCCCTGCATTCCCATTAAACGCAAAACATAACCTTTTTCGTATAAAGTCCCATGAGCCTTAGTTTCTCTCCTGAAACTATTCATTCTGATCTCTGGTTTATGTTGACGTACAGACATTACTTCCCATCACTGGTGACAATTCTGTACGAACGAAGTTTGTACAGAATTGTTATCGGTCGTGCGTAACGTTCAATACCCGGTAAAATGTTGAAATGTAACGCTCAGCCATAATTTCTTGTTGGGCTTAGAGGCCTAAGCTTCAAACTTCATGATGTACGTAAGCTCGAAGATTCTAAGTAAACCCGAAAGACTTAAAGGGGTTGATGGCGATCGTGCGGCTACAACCCATTTTTGCGGCCAATTCTGGAGTCCCATTTTCATTTAAAAGTACCTTCAGATAGTTGTCATCAAATGCAGATTGTCAAGAAGAGCGGGAAGCATCCTCTAGATCACAGATCCCATTTTGAAACTTTATTAACCACATTTAAGCCATATTATCGTTACCATGCACATGGCAAATGCATTTTTTGGCGACATTTTCACTTCAACTAAATGCATAGAATGCAGAGTGTCAAATATGTATTTTACTCCAGCTAGACTATCTGTCTGAAGGAACTCTTTGGAGTTCCTTCGGGTTCAACTGCACTTTCGATACCATATAGGTACATCAATACGGTATATAAAAAGTAAAGAACTAGCAAGGGAAGTGGGAAAAGGAGGTTTGCTTAACCTCAAGAAACTTTTTTACCTAATTCAATATATACATATATTTACACTTGCGATACGTATATCATCAGTGAAATTGTGGACAAGCTGCTTTCGATAAAACCAGTCTTTGTTTAAAGTTTAACAAATGTATCTTAACCCCTCATCATTGAAGAAAATGAAATAAAAAATGTTTTGAAAATAGCTTTTTTTTTTTTAGTACAGATATCTTTTATTGTTGTTATTATTATTAGTTGTAATATCGAATTTTTAATTCTTTTATCTGTCAATGACGTCGGTAGTTATTGAGCTAGTCCATAAGACATTAATTAGTTATTTTTGTATAGCTTAAAGTTTTTACATATATCTTAATCATGGCAATTAGAATTATCGAAACTTATGAACATTATGAAAGCTAGAATAATCCGCTGAACACGCTGTATACTACCTGGACTTGCTTCGATACTGTGACGGCTGTCTTTGAATCGTACTTGAATTTGTACTGGCATTCGGAACAAATCAACAGGTGACTTCCTCTGAAATAGGGATTATGAAAGAAATGATGCAATATTAAAGTTTGCAATTCGAACTTAAGCTCTAATACAGGCAGTTCATACATATTTTAATGTCTATATTGTAACATCTGTACTTGAAAATTGCATTAAGAAGCGAAATACCAAATGCTTACTCGATGATTTCTTTCTGTATGATGAAGCTAACTGTGTTTACTAAGAAAAACGTGTGTTTATTTAATTATTTTTTATTAACTTAGTAATCAATTCCTTGCCGGCAGCTCTCTGCTGAAATAATGAACCTTACCTAGAATTATATAGAAACGTTGCAGATTTTGGAACAGCAGTCCCATAAAGCTTTCTTCTTCTGTTTAATTGCCAGTCTGTAGAACTTGACTCGCTTTCAGCCACTGGGGCTCTTTCAAAGGTCAACCAGTCGAGCCACGATAAAAAATGCACCGTTTCCGGATATTCTGCCGACTCATCTAAAAATAGCGGAGTTTTTAGATACGAAGATTTTTAGTTTGCTGAAATTGCTGGAACTTACCTAGGTGAATCTGTCAAGCAATAGCAGGCTTAGCAAACAAAAAGACACTCGACGTATATGCGCGAACATGCAAGCTGACTTTGGCCGAATATCAAAAAACCGAAAACTCTGCGCTCGCTAGTTTGTGGAAAAATATAAAATTTAGAATAAGCTAACGTTATTTTAATAAGTTTTGATTTTACTGCTTGTATTTGTCTATATCCCTACGGAAGTCATGAAAATAACACGAACTTAACGGTCGTTGTGGGCCTATAACTATGAGCAGCAAAAGCTATCTCGCATACGGCTCGAAGGGGCTCAAAAGCTACGGTCTGTAGGATGCCTTACTTATGGACAATGAAATCAACTGGTAAAAAGCAAGTCTACAAACCGGGTTTTTTTTCTTTTACGGAACAGATAAGGATATCGACTTGGGTGCACTGATTCTCAAGGCACACTCGGCCCTTGGCCGCCAACAAAACTCCTTCGTTGATGCCGGTCTCCGATGACAGAAGTTTAGTGAACCTAACAAAATTATTTCAGTATTTCAATAACTTTATAAATGCATATTGTAAATGGTATACATAATGTCCTATACAAATTCGAGAACTGGAATCAGGTCTCGTTAGATTGTAAGAGTCGAAACATTCATTCAGATCTCCCTAGAAGGTTTATGATGGTTGTTTGTGTATAAAGTTAGTTATTTCACGAAATTCACTTTGAGACATAAATGCTTGACAAAGATAAGCACACTTTGACTATTATACACCAAGTTTCACGTACGGCTTTCCAAGTTGCCTCTGCTCTGTCCTGAGCAGGTCAATTGTTCCCTGCCGGTTTAATATAACACCGAATTCATTGTTCACGAAGAGGAAATTAGATTCAGATTGATCGACATCGACCGGCGGGTTGTTAGGGCTTAGACATAGCACAACATTTGGTTCTGATAGACGCTCATTCTCATACCGCACATGGAATAACTGCAACATTCACGCAGTTACGGTTACACATCTGTTACTATCAAAAAAACAACAATCAAAGAAAACGCCTTTTTGAAAAGTCCTTGTAGATCGACGAGATCCTATAATATAATCCTGTCGATGGCTAGTCCTTCAAGAACTGACTGTTGACAACAGGCAATAATATAACCCAACAAAACCTCCGGAAATTTATCTTTACCCATTGCTTTTTACACACGCCTGCTATAAGCGCAGTAATTTTTGGTGCATCTTTCAATCCTGGTTCAGATCCCAGGCGCCATATGGTTATTGAGCTACAGAAAAAAAAATAGAAATAGCGATTTCTCAGGTGTTAACACTATACCTTCCATCGTTGCCTCTATATTTTCTTAAGCTAAACTATCTGTTTACATTATTATACACAAATAAGCACAACACGAGCACAGTACTGCTTCTTTGTAGTCGGTCCAAGATGTCTGAATACGGTTTTTGATTATATCAATGATACTATAATTGCTCCTAAATTAAAGAGTGCCATTCAGCATTACTGAACACGTGGCCGAATGAAAACAAATCAATATCATGGAACTGCGCATATACATGACAGCCAAATGAATATCACTTACGCTATATTGAGCAATATAGAATACTGAGCCCGGATGAAAGACATCGTAAACTAGAGCATTCAATTTAGATCGTAATTCGACGTGGCATAGACCGAACTGATCAGTTGTCAACTCCGCCGGCGATGCTATCTTCTCCTAATTCAAGGTTAAAGAGAATATACCGAAGTTATTCAATGTTTGTATTGAGCGTTTTTTGCGTCACAGAAAGCCAAAAAAAAATAGATGAACAAATCACATAACATCAGAGTAGGTGATTTACTACCGGCAGCGTTTTCATATGGCTGGTACCGAAACTAATAATTTTGTGGCAATCACGCACCCTTACTCGTATCTCTATAGTATTTAAAGGTTGCTGAAACATCCTTACTTATTAAACTAGCATTACAATACAAAATGAATTGAGGACACCCTAGCAGAGTAATATAGCTACCTTCAATTTGTGCTGAAGAATTTGGGGTTGATCAGACGCTAGTCGGTAACAGTCGAAATTCGGATCCAAAAATCGCCTGTTAGGCCTCAACTCATTAATTGTACAATTTACTGGGTTGTCAGAAGACATTGTTTTGTGTTTTTCCCGTTCAGGAGGGTGAAAGATCAACGTCAGGTATTTTTCAATCACGTTCTGAAACATGAATAACAGTCCGTACTTTAATACTACTAGTCAATTTAGGCGTTTGAATAGAAAAATTATCTGAAAGGTTAGTTTTAAAATAACCTTATTTCTTCTATAAGAATAAAAGTATAATGATTTCTTATTATTTGAGAATTATTAGGCATCAATTTGTATTCCTGCCAACAAAATTTTAAACTTTGTAATTCCGTTTTGTTACCATCCGTTCTATTTCGCGGGAAAATTTTTCGTTACCTTGTCCGCAGTTTGGTCTGCTTTTTTCCGTCTGCTCTATATTCTAAATTAAAAAAAAGCCATGCGCTCCTTAATTGCAACAAAAACAAATAAATAGGAAACGAAGGGTTTATTAAATACATTATTGACTCTATTTAGATGAAGTAGACATATGCAATCGGTAGCTGCTGTAGCATACGATAATCAATTTCTTAGTCTAATAAATAGTAGCCATATCATTTCATAGATCGTTTAGCATTATATTATGAATATTACAATGGTGAAAAGTGCTATGCATTCCGTTTTAAAGTTCTACTTAAACCAAATATATGAATTAATGAAGCTCTATAATAAATGAATATATGAAATATTTGTTCTGTCACGTAATGAAAGTGTACATATCACCAGTAGGTAAAACTGTTGCCAGAGATTTGAGTTAGTTACAGAGACAGGACGCAGAACCACATATAAGTACGTATGTGACCCAAAGTTATCAAGATTAAACGAGAAGCCCTAATATGAAAAAAATCGACCTTTTAGTTACGTTGGATTATTCAGCGAGTGGCGCGCAACTTGTTATATTCCAGAAGCACAGTAAACAAACGTATCCTTTAATACTAGATAATTCACTTGCCTCTTATACGAAAGCGAATTCGTCTGATAGCACGGCACACAGTCGACGCCACGACAATTTTGTAAGTATTTTTAGGAAAACAAACAGCTAGTTTTATTTATTAGGCTCCTTTGCAATAGAGTCGCGTAGTTTCTTTATCCACCAGCTGTTCATCGAGTACCCCGTCATAATCGAACATTGTGCCCTCTCCGAGCTTTGAATTTAAGGCGCGCAAGTGCGCCGACTAACGAGCTATGCCTAATGTATTCATTTTCGGCCCACAGAAACAAGTTTATAGCGTTAGATTGTCCCGCCAGATTTCATATACACAGTAGGTTAAACAATATTAGTCATTATTAAAGTTAACTCACATATAATAAAACACTATCGCATCTATATACAGTACCTTCGTCTACCTTGGCCTTCACCCAAGCTAACATCAAAACCTAAAAAAAATCATCAAAACCTGAAGTGTTCTTTAAAGACTGTCGTGCGTGAAACGAAATCCAATTCCAATCGGCATAAGATGCTTTTATGGCTTCTGGCAACGCCTTGATTGATAATACCTCGATAAGTTATTAAACTCGAGTGAAGAACTCAAAGAACATGAATTGAATTCGGCAGTTTACATTACGTTGATGATGACTGTTCCCAAAATCTTAAACGATATATTGTACCGCGTAGCTTATTCAACTATGCTAGAAATCAGCGTTAGCAAATAACGATTCTATGGCGATATTTTCGGAGAGTTCCGAAGAATGAAAGCCGTCGAATTTTTAGGTGGAGTCATAGTTGCTCCCTCATCAATATACGGCTTCATCAGATGTGAGCTTTGGATTCATGTGATATTCATATAACACTGGTTGTTAGTGCCATCGCTCGTTTGTAGTTAATGCTCGTGAGCTAAAGCGGAGGGACCCGTTTTCCGCTCTTCGTGTCCTTTGCCCTGCGAGTAGTAACAGCTAGGCCAGCACATAATACAACACGAGGCGAGTCAAGCCACAGCCCATGGGTCAGCGCTTGCTGCACGAACAACCAAAATATTCGCAGGCTAATCAGTGTATTGTGACCAATATGGGTTGACTCGTTGGCTAAATATCCATAGAAACACTACAGCTTACCGCGCAATTAAGTGTTGCAATCGATAGAAAGAGCTGAAAGTTTGTCTGCATAAACTAGAAGAGTTCTAACGACGTTTGATAACAAGGTGAGACAGCTGTATAGATCAAAGCATCTATAATATGTTCAATATATACGCACGGGTCACTCCCTCTTACGTTACAAGCGGCTAGACCAATGAGCGCGATTTAAATAAACCCTTTCAAATTTACATATATATACAATACCGGGTACTCTATCTATGTCTATGTATCAAGTGATAGGATTTTTTTTATTTCATTCAAATCACACAAGAATTAAGCCGGTTATAATTGCAAAGCTACCGAGGTTAGTTTTACGCCAAACTCGGGCCTCTGTATTCATATAATGGGTATATGCCGCTTATATGAGCAGTCCTCCATATCCATTTTTGACTCTGTTGCGTGCTGTTTTTTAGCATACTTGCACGTAATAGCATCACGTTTAGCTAAACGAAGCGATCGACTCCGTGATTTAACGCAAACAAGCCGACAGCTACGAATTCACAGCTCCACGCTCAATCCTCGAAAACAAACAATCAGCGAAAAGGAGAAAAAGGCTTATCCAGATACAACTGCGACGCAAACTTAAAGAGATGCTTTTGAGAGATGTTCCGAAGAATGGGCCAGACTAGAACGGTACTTAAGGTTAAAATGACGTTTATAGTTGTTTCGCCAAAGTTCCCTTAAACGCTTTGGTTCTAAGCGGGCACAGAATAGCGTGTTCAGGAGAGTGTCCGCTCTGAAAATGGATGTTACAGCACACGTCTGAAGCGCAGCCAAAAACAGGCTTCCGCTGTGGCGCCTACGTGTGCGTGTCAATGATGGCGTACAAAACTTATAGTCGACTCTGGAAGTTGTCTGAAATCTTCTAGAAGCTACAATAGATAACCGCGAAAAAGACGCAGAGGATGACAGATTCGGGTGTAGTGCATTAGGCAGATTGCGTACCTTAGGGGCGCATCATTGGATACAGTAGCAGCAAGAGTCCGTAGATGATGTTAAACCTACAGATCTTAGACTTAATACCGGACTGTGATGAGGACAGTTCGTAGAAACGGTCGGTCCGCCACACAAATGTCCACTTGAGAAAAATCGCTGCATTAACAGCCGAAGCAAGGGGGTAGCCTAGTTGCCAGCCATATAGAGGTAGAGGCTATCTAGGTCGCGCACCGTAAAGCAAAACACGTCGAACGAGACGACAAATATGGATCTTGTATTGAACGCAACTGCTGTGTTGCTCAATACGACAACAGAGCAGAAGGTTGTCCAAGAGTCAGTAGCTGCCTCTCTTCAGACGCCGACATCGTTACTTGGCAAGTCGGATCATCTCATCATCTGCCGATCGTGGAAGGAACCCCAACATGTCCTCTTTCAGGTAATTATATGTATATATACATCAGTTTTAATCTGAAGGATCAAGAAAACTTCCACAACTAAATACAAGTACGATTTCTATATAGAGCAACTTTTTTCGAAACTTTGATCATAAATGGACGTGTTATACCATCCTGCTGTTTCAGGTGGCCAACGTATTATTCATATTGGCTTTCGTAGCCCCGGATAATAAATATGGTGTGCTTTTTCTGCACACGTTGCTTATGGTAAGTTAGAAGCTGTCGATCAGGTATCCCGCGCTGATACTGATCAGCATTGTCAGTTAGGCTCTTAGATAGAGCAAAAGTTTTTCAAAATAAAACAATCATAAGTAGCGTACTCCAATAAGCGAACAGAGCATTTGATTCGAATAAGGACATTATATATATTGTCGTTTATGTATACGCCCGAGATAACATTTGATTTGCGATATGGGTGATACTTGTAGAAATATTGTATTACTCTATCTAATAAAAATCTGATATAAAATCCAAAACTTAAAGGAAGTAATACTCAAAAAAGAATGTTGAGCTTAGCTTAGTTTTCCATAGTGTAGCGTAAGCTGTCAGAAAATCCTGTGCGTACTTATAGTACAACGTTCGTATAGTGACAATACCCTACAACTGGCGTCTGATAGGTTGCATGCCTTTTTACAACCGCGTGGGCTTGGAACGTCCTCTGCGCACCCGATCTCTTCACCTACAGTTTCGTAGCCATGATCATCAACATGGGCCAGACCATTTACCTCTTGTTCACACTCAGGTATGCTTTGACCCATCTAATCAGTTGATCTTCACTCTCTCTCGATACATATGTATATATATAAGATTTAAGTTTCTGGTAGAAAATCTCTGTCAACAATTGTTGTCAATATTTTATTATGCAGTTTTTTCTATCTGATTTTGAATAACAGTCAGTCGATGTTAAAAACTGATTATGAATTGCAATAACGGCTGTTATAATTATGGCTTTTAACCAGATGCATTGCTATTTACTAAAGTCAAAGAAAGTAAATCTAAATTTGTGGAGTTTAGCGCAAATTTGCTAGATCAACTTCAATTTAATTCAGTTTCTGTCTTTCTGGCAATCGTTTGCTCATTTAGGCATGTCCCTCAAGGTCGTCTAGTTACTCTCGCTATCTGCTTTCAGCGATGTATCCCCTTGTTCTAACTTCGATAAAGCTGTGTTTTTTTACCTCATTCGATAACCGAGTCACAACTGTGTCACGTATAGCTCTACGCATGCCAGTCAACGTCATATTTCCATAATTATTACAGACAAGTGAAGTTCCCTGGAGAATTGGAGGACATTTATGAGGTCTTATTTGCCCCTATGCGAGTCTCGCGCATGCTCTTCAAACGACTTGTTTCGCTGGAGTACGCGCAGGTAAGGTAATTTTCGCAACTCTTTAAGTGCTGGCTGTATGAAAGACATTGTAAAAGGACTAGATTGTATTACTAATATTCAAGTTATTTGCCTCGCATAATCAGTGCATAAAGATCTGAATAGTGTTACGGTTTACTGCAGGAATCACATTGACTTCTTCAAATAAGTCCTTTATGCTTTTCCTTGACTTCCTTGACTGCTTTACAGGTGCTGAATCTCCATGCTGGTGAAGCTTATGCGATGCAGAATTTAACGCGGACAGATCGCTTAGCGTTGCTCGTTGCCGGGAAGTAAGTTAACATCAGTATACAACGTGTCGTACGTACTGTAGACTAAAAAATAATCAAGTCACTTACTTAATCTTGCAATTGTTTTGACATAGATAGTCTTGCGGGTATCGTATAAGGGCAAATATTTTAAAATTTCCCTAGCGGCTGATCTTCCTTCAAGTGTAGTACACAATGATACAGAGGTAAAAAGATCATTACAGGTGAGAGTTAGATTCGCTATTGAATGTATAAATTAATTTGTAGGCATGAGCTGATTTCTCAGAACATTAAGGACACGAACACTATTTGTGTGTATTTAACAGAGCCAGCGTGCTTTCGGACCATCATTTTCTACATCATATACATCCGCGCGAATTTCTCGACTCGCCCGAATTCGAATCTACGCGCTCTGGAAAGGAGGACAAGTACAAGGTCAGCACGGTGCATACGAACTAGATTCTAATTCTACGAAAATGACTGCTAACTTTCTTATGTACGCTATCATGACGTCACACCTATAGCAGTACCGCTAACTATAAACAGAAGACTGAATATGCAGCGTTCCCGGATCACTACAATTCAGTTTCACTCAGTATTTTCATTCTGTTCAAGTTTATACATACATTGGTTTTAACTTATCCGTTTCGGATTCTGCTTGCAGGTAACCATAATCGCAGTGACACCTTGCCGATATATTCTTTGGCAGCGTCAGAACCTCGAGTACCTACTGGTTAAGGAGGCATTCTTGGCGGCTGTATTTGCGCTGTTACTTGAGCGGGACATCACGTCCAAACTGTATGCTATGAACGAAAAGATCGTTACGGAGAAGGGAGAGCAGTTAGACATACGCCTTCCATCGGTCACCGGAAGCATGACGTACCAGCTGGCAGCTGAAACCACTTCACAGCTTCACACAGGATCCCGATCGCACACGCCACACCTACAACGTGCAGGCAAGTTAAAATTAATCCAAAGACATCGGCATCTCTTAACAATGCAGGCAAAAATATTCAGGCCTTATGTAAATTTAAGGTGTGAAGGACGATATGGGCCACATTAGGAACCCAACATACAATACTAGTATTTCAATAGGAAGTCGGAGTTTGTTTACGTGGTGACTTCGAATATTAAATGGATATGTATGATTTCATTCTATAAAACTGACGGCCATGACCGGAGACGTCAGATCGTAAAGGCTCAGCTTGGAAGAGAAAGATGTTCTCTGCGACAGAAAAAACGCTACTCTATGCGATCCATGCTGGAGAAATACATGAACGTACGCTCGGCCTCGTAGCCGTGCGGCGTTCATGTATATCCTACTATTTATCCTACGAAATGATCTAACCTTGACCTTAGACGATCCTTCATGCCGGGAAGATTCGACATCATTGAAAATAAAAAATATACAATGACCGATCGTATACAGTGATACTTTTCTCTAGCTTTATTTATAGCATTATTACTATTATAGCAGAGAGCTGTACCTTTGAAACAGAACTGGTCGTGAAAAAAAGGTATGAAACAGAAATGTTAGTGGCTGTAGTAAAGAATTGTTGGTTAGACCATAATGAACAAAGAAGGAACTATCGATCGATAGATAAGAAGGTCGATCCAAGCAAAACTTCTTGAAACGAGAGCTTTCGTCGTCTATTTATCGATGGTAAGGGGTAAGGCATGTGACCAGTGTCGACTCAGTTATGCCTTTGTAAGCTATAGTTTCGATGCGCAACAAAAGACAGCCCGTATATTGACGCTGGTGAAAAAGAAGCAGATGCTTCACGACGCATTCAGGCAAAAATTACTCGTAGACCCTTTGATGCAATTGCCCAGCTAAGACTGGGCGGCCCGACGTCATAAAGTCGAAGGCCATTTCGAAATTTTAAATATTACTCTCGCAGGTGACTCATGATGGTGTTCGTGATGTCCACTTGTGCCGCATCAAGAAACAAGTTCCGACGACTGCCGAATGTGTCGAAGAACTGAAACACAGACGATGAAATTCTTTAATGCGTCACATAGTACAAGATGGCTAATAGTCGAACATTGTACCATTAGAAACCAATTGATAGGTCATGTTTTTTTTTAGCTGTTATTGCTTTCGTTCGATTAACAGCACACAATACTTCGTATGTTGTATATGTAATAGAGTTTGCGATTAGATGATCGCAAAAAAGCGACCTGCAATAGTGGTTCATGTAAGTTCTATGAATGCTTCTATCATTGTGGTCGGCGCGATCGTTGCTGCTGCCGTAAGTGTCCTGAGCGACGTCACCATGTTGATGGACACGAGGAACTTGTATAAGCATTTAAAAAGTATGTACGTGTTGCGTACAACGCAGGCGAGGCTTTACCATCAAACTGAGATCTCAGGTTAGCACATTTAAAGCATTAGTTAGATGAATGTTGACCTATCGCTCTATAGGTTGATTTGGTATATTCGTTTGTTCAGTGAACAACAATGTGTTTTTTCAACGTTTTCGGAAACGTGTTTGCTCGCTTAGATAGTTTAGTCACAAATTTCTGGCATCAAATTCTTAATGCGCATGAGTAAAATATTATTCGTAATAGAACACGCTGTAAATAGATCTGACGCTATATATCTCAGCTGGGCAAGAAATAACGTCCTCGGTAGCTATCAAGATAATTTTAGATCTACTAGTAACCCAAGTACCAATACGCAGAACAAGGTTCGATATACTAAATTGGAATACAGCAGCATCACCGAATGCTTATTCAGAGGTAGTCTCTAGATATAAACATCAGCAACTTGATGGACGCTACGCCCGAATTGTACGTGTTTGTGTGCGATGTGAGTGACCTCTATGATTAAGTATGACATGTTAGAACAAGATAAAATCCCGGAACCTTTTTGCACGGGTTTACGGCCCCTCATTTTTAGCTTTCGAATGCCTTAAACGTTGCCTCCGAAACGGTAGCTTCTAGCCATCGCCTCGAGCTGCCTAACCGACAAAGTGGTCTTTGAAATTACCCTACTGAAAAGAGAAAAGTGGGCCGATTATACGTAAAAATTGAAATTAATTGTTCGTGTATTCCCAAACTAACAAGCTTCATAACACCTAATCCAATGGGACCCATTGGATTAGATGTTATTCAAAAGTACGCATTTAAGAGCATACGATTGTGATAAAGCTATGTGTGTTCATTAAATAACGTCCGTTTCTAGCTGGGCTCACCTAGTGATCCGCGAAAGGCCGTTCGTCGCGGGTGCTATTTGAATCTTGATGTTTTCTTGGCTTGATGGAGGACTTCAGTTGAAATTTCCGCAACGTCAAATGGAAAGGTACGCTTCTAAGCAATACAATTTGCATAATTTCGCATAACGAGGACAATACGTGTTCAAACGGTGGCTTTCAGGTGGCTCTCCTGTGGAAAGGGAGAAGGATCAGCGAAGCTATTCAATCAAGTAATTGTGTTAGAAGTATGAGCAGACGTCAGCCATATTTTTTATTCCGGTAAAAGTACGACAAATGACAGAGCGAGATGCGGACCATGAATGAGGACGAAAACGAAAGTATTCACAGTGAAGATAATACGCTAGTAGAATGGATATACGTAGACTAAAATCTGACCTAAATCTCTATTTAAGTAGATATTTCAGTACCGTCTCGTTGAAGCCAATTCATAAACGTTCGCAACGGAGTATTCGCTTGCACCTCAATGACTGAGGCTGCTGAAAACTATAGTTAATTATATTAACATTTTTTGACTTCTGCAACTGAAAGAGTTAGCATTCCAGTGGTAGTGTTGATTTATTATAACGATAATAACTATTCATATCTGTAAAAGATAGCAAAAAAAAAGGGGTTTTGCTATTGCCAGCTAAGGTTGTGAGGATGTTCGATGGTAGCAAGCAAAAAACTGTAACATATTATATAGTAAGTGTATCGTCAACAGAAGGTTCGCCGACGAAAGGTTGTTCTTATAATCGAAGTTATCAATGTTCTTCTTGAACAAAATACAATTTATTTGTAATCTGTAATATGATTATTTAGAGAAACATCGGGAAATAGAAAGTCGTTCACGTCATAGCTGATTGACACGTGACTTTTTAATCAGAACAGCCAGCCACAAGTTCGCGGGTTGGCTTTAGATACCTAATAGTTGTCCTATTCGCTAATATATACAATTGTTCTATATGCTTTATGTTATGCTGCTAAATGTTTGCTAACCAATAGATCGACTGCTTACTGCCGAATATCGCTTGAGGACCCGCAGGTTTACAGGATTACAGTCTACATTTTCTCCGAATAAGTGCCATTTGATAATGTGTAATTTAGCAAAATGAGATCTTAGTACACGATACAAAGCAATGCCAACACATCGTTCAACAGGGTCTCAAAGGATTCTCGTTCAGCGGGTAGGAGGCGAATATAAGATCCATTTCTTCCTTCCTTCCTTCCTTCCTTCGCTTTAATGAAGAGCGAAGTTTGTTGCTGCAGGAAGTTGCCGTTCTCAGAACTTTGGACTTTGGGGGCACTCTTATGGTGTCGATGGAGATGTTTATGGAAACCCAGTAGAACAACTGGTAGAACGACGTCCAAAACTGACAAATATGTTAGAGGAAAGTTGCCATTAGTGAACCTCACGCTTCATCTACGGAAGATAGGACCGATGTCGATACCAAGTGTATGAAATTGATATTATAACGCTTGATAAATACAAATGATTATCATTCAAGTAGTGACCTAAAGAACCATTATGTAAGAGTTCGGTAGTTATTGAGGTTTGCCTTCGATAATGTTGCATTATGTGTTATAGAGTTATATTATCCTAGAATATGTGCGCAACAGCACCCCTTTATCGGTACCCACACGTACGCTCCTCTATATATAATAGGAAAGCTCTGAAAACTACTTACTTATAATACGTGATTGCATATGTAACGTCCTAACGGTTGTGATCGAAAATTATATGCAATTATTATAGATGACCTTAGTATATCTGGGACGATTTTGTTCGAATAATAAAAGGACTCATTGAGCATTAGTCTGATTGCTATTATTTACACTCTGGATCACTGCTTAATATACTATAGGGCTAATTATTCGGAAAGACTGTAGTAATTGCATCACATCAGTGAATATATAGACGCTTCGCTATAGATGCCCCAATTTCTTGCATAGCCCAAACATGCATCACATCGAGGCGATATTGGCAAAGGAATCAGCCAGAAACAGAACTAAAGTGTCTTATTCAGCATGTTTTCTTCTTAGCATCAACAAAAACAGAAAAACGATTAGGCACTAAGTAGAACAGAAGAATCGAAAGCTAAATAGGTATGACATTATTCGAGGCTTTCACCACTCAGGAGAGCCAAGGACTTCCGATAACAACATATGGCCTACGACCTATCATACGGGCTTGAAAAATTGATTAGTGTAGCGGTCAACAGGATGTCGGACTCTCAATACCTAGGTGGGAGATGAGGATTTTTTCAATTATTCAAATGATTTTACTAGTGCCTTTTTCCTTGGTCCGGTTGACGTTCAGCAACCGCTTAAGCTCTTGCTGAAATTCTCGATGAGAGTAGCAGACCTAACATAGGCGTCAAAGTGACCAATTCTAATTCGTGAGTCACCCTTTGTGTCTGGATAACAGTAACACGGTTAAATGTTGTAGAGTACTTTCCAAGCGCCCATGTAATATTTGTCCTTAATTCAAATTAGAATTTAATAGCTTCCTGCTAGTCGTAGCGCAGCTTCAAGTGTATTAATATGAACTTAATCATGCTGTGGCTAGATTATGCTAATTTCATAAGTTCGGAAGGCACGACCACTTCTAAATGTCACCTAATGCTTTAGAATATACTATATATATGTATATATATATATATATATATATATATATATATATATACGCCGGCCCACTGCAGCTCGTATTATATGTGCCTTTCAAGTTATATATATATATATATATATATATAACTTGAAAGGCACATATAATACGAGCTGCAGTGGGCCGGCGTTGATGTCATGTGAATTCAATAGTAGTTCGACTAAAGTTGTTGAAATGGCTTTATTTCGAAAGGAAACGAAGTGCCTTCAAGGTGAGTGAAATATCTGCAAATGTTCGCTTTACTCAACATTTTATTTTTAAATTCTGCCCGAGTATGTAAATAAATGTGATTGTTTACGGTCAAGATACGTTATTTGAAGAAATGACGATGTGAGAGATGCTCTTCATAGTGGTAGGCCGATTTAGAAAAAGCTAATGTAACTATTTGCAACACACGAGTTGCCATGACGATCGAACGACTTCAATGTATTCGAATAAAGTTAGCTACAAGAAGAACCTCTATGTTTGGGTAGCACACGAATTGACGCAAGAGGTCTTACGTTCTTATCTGAAAACTTCTATAGAACTGCGAAAAAATCAAGCCATTTTTAAAGCGATATGATATTAGCAACGAAAAAGATCACAACAAGTGACAATGTGCGAAAAACATTTATGGTCAGGTCGAACGAAAGGCCCCTCAATTTGTGGCAGAGCCCAGACTAACGCCGAAGGAGCTGATGTTGTGTATTTAGTTAAATCGGGAAGGAATTGTGTTGCATGCCAAGTTCTTGCCGCCGGGCGAAGCGGCCACCGTCGGCCCCTGCTGTCAGCAGCGAACAAGATAAAAAATCGACCGGAGCTAGTGAATAAGAAAAGACGCCGCCTTCCACCATGACAATATCGGGTCACGGAGGAGTACAAAAATCACTTCTCATTATTGCTAACCCAGAAACCATGCAAGTTCTATAATGATCAGATTACCAAAAAATGTCAAAAGATCATCAAAATGACGTATATTTAGTTTCGTCATATTGTCTAATAATCTGCTTCGCTTTTGAAAATTTTTTTTGACCACCCAGTATATGTAGATTATCTCACTGGTCAATTCAATGTACCTACAAAATGGTAACATAACCTTGTGAACACGGTAAATGCACAGTGTGATTTAATAAAAGCCCATACGGCGGTTTCGTCCACCTGCGACCATTAGTAGGTCAGTTAATGTCAGCTTACCAGGCAGCAGTTGTATGTGTTAGCAATATTTGTTCATAACACTTAGTGACGACCTTAATTTTTTCTCAAATTTTTATTTTAGGACGATCTAATGTATTATTGTTTACCATCCTTCTTATCTATATCGATTCCCCGTATTATATATCCCGCAATGCTGAACTACTCCAGTCCCCATTGGAATGAATGTCGCACCGCTTGTCGTTCAACTAGAGGGTACGTGGCCGGTTACAAAAAGCCGAAAAGATTTCTAAAAATAACATTATTAGAAATGTCTTGGCAGTTGCATGTAGGCTTTTAGGATGAAGTAGACTAGGATGAAACCGATCCTTGATTTCTCATAGGTTATAACGGAAAAAAATCCTGAGCATGGGTCACCGATATCCTGGTTGATTCACGTTTTAGAAATAGACACAGCGACTTCATCATAGCAGAGAACTATGGGTTAGCACCGTAGAAATAGAAACCTAGGCAACAAAAGCTTTTGCGTAGCATTGTTTGAGAAACACATTGATATCCTTTATCACAGCTTTTTAGAACGGAATAATGAGCCAACATATCCCACAGAAAACTTCTATACCTAAAAAGTTGTTTTTATCGCTACATAGTTACAAGTGTCTAGATCATTAAAAAAAAGTACTTGTATTGACTCCGAGAGAATGATTCAACGGTTCCTGATGAACAAAGGTCCGGGTGACGGAGCCCCAATAGAGCTTACACAGCCATCAGGAGAATTGGAATCCAGTTTCGCTTTCTGCCCTCGAAAGGGCGTAGTGATCTTAACCAAATGCAGACATGTTTGACTTTTCAAGTGTTCTTCGGTTAAATCATCGAATGATCGAACATCTCGAGGGGATGTTTTCTAGTTGATCTGCAGCAATTACAAACCTGAACACATGTTCGAACGTACAGGAGCCCAGCATTACGTGCCTCTAATACCTCAAAATTACGAAAACTTTTTTAAATTGCGCGCGTGACGCTAGCTATATAGCTAGTATTCATGATGTCATGTTTTCTTAGGTTTTAGATCGCTTAGAGGGTAGCATTGTTTCACAGTTCTCAAGATAAGGACGGTCAAAGTTTTGGGAGAGCTTATGTATGAATCCCTCATTATTCAGGTATTTGATCTTTTTACTTTATTTCTACAACAGAATACAATTTAACGGCTTTTATACGAGCAATATTTTGTTGATAACCGCATAGTTTGCAGGATATAGTGGACTAAGGGGTAATAAGGGACAGGGCCATCAAACATCAGCCACTCCCTTTCTATAAGCAAGACAATGTTGACCTTAAATTTCATTTCTTAAATGCATCCAGCCCAAAAAACCAATTTTAACTAATAGCTGAGTATTTTATCGAACTTTTATTAAATAATAAAGGATGAAAACACTTATTAGTTTTATTGAATTACGGGCTCTTTCGCATGAAATCATTAGTAACCCGTATAGCCCTCCCTCTAGCCCATTTTACTCCACCTTATGGAGCTATGTAAGGCATCGACAGGCTAAATTAATATTTTTTCGAAAATGATTGAATTGAAGTTAGTCAATTGTGGCCACAAAATAAAAGGGGAGCTTTTGGCAAACATACTCCTAGAATTTTTTTTTTGCTATGACATTGATGGTCTGCATCGATAGTGTTTCCGCTGTGTTCTTGCAAAATGTACGGAACCATTAGATCGACTATCCCTCACTGACAAATACGTTAGTTGAACGTACAGACAGACCTCAGCTGCTTCTTACAGAATTTTCAATAGTATTAATAAACATCTTGCCAGCAATAACAGACAAAGCCCGAAGAGTTATTGAAGAATCATACATAAAATTTCCAATAGGAACAAGACATAAAAGGTGCGATTAGATGCCCGAAAACTGTTCTCATCATAAAGGATTCAAACGACAACGTATCTAGCATTTCCCTGCGTCTTTTTCAAAATCTCTTTATAGAAATACAATATTAGATAGTCGATTTCTCGAACAGTATATGTATGTATATATATATATATATATATAGTCGAGACGAGGATACATAGGCATTTTGACGAAAATTTTCAAAAGTATATATATGCCGTATAGTACGATGCGGAGTGACATTGGTTTCTTAGAGAAGTATCACAGTAGAGAACATGGCAATATACAATGAAAACTAGAAATGCTTATGAATAGAGTAATTTTCATCTTGGCAGCACATATTACCATAAAAGTGAATGATTTTTGTGGGTGATTTATAGTGGCTTGTTGCTATCCAAGACACAGGTTGTTTCGCAACACGTACTTCTCTGGCCTCCAACGTAGGATATCAGTCGTCGTGAGCATTCTGCTACTGGTTCCACGTCGCCATTTCCAGTATTCCGTACGTCGTATCTGCATCGGTGTTTCATGAGCCGCTCCTTTTGATTTAGTTTAGTCGAGCCAACCAAGCAGGGTCGTTTGATTTTAACAAAGGTTAAATGCCAATGTTCATACCTACCGCCTGCATAGCATCTCGTTCTAACTAGTTTAAGAGCACGGATCTAGGGATGCGCACGACCATTATATAATACCGTTTACATACATAAATGGAAAAACATGAGGTTTAACAGTGTACATGCCGATGTGTTAGTTCTTTTTCTTGGTCTAAAAACTAGCTTAACTAAATGATTCTTAGCTTAAAACGCATTAACATAATATGTTAGCTTGAAATAGTGTACGAAAAGTCTATTTATATATAATATTTGTAGGAGCTGCGCGAAATTAGTATAATAATATTCGGCATCAATGAAGGCTTGACGGGACTCGTTACTGAGAATTATTTAGAAATATCTAATTTCTGCCAATACATCCTTATTGACCTACTTCGGATCACTTAGCCCATGCATATATTTTTACAGACGTGTCCATCGATAACCACATAGGAAATCTGCCATGTTAAACTACGCGATCAAGTGTACCGAATTATGGAT